GCCCTCGCCCCTTCCCTGCAAGTTCCTGACTTTTCCCTGCGGCCGTTTTGTGAGGGCCGTTTCTCCTCCCCTAGAAAGAGAGAGGCGCTGGCCCGCCTGCGCTCCCCATGGCCGCGAAGGGGCAGGACGAGTTGCCAAAAGCCCGAGGCAGGACTCTGGGCGTCTTCCGCGAAGGTATAGATAGAGAGAGAGATCGCTATGGATTTATATACCTCGTTCTTGAGCCGAGGGTTTGCAAAGCGGCGGAACCTCGGCGAGGAGGGCGCGGCTCGCCCGGAGGCTTTTCGGCGTCGTACGGCTGGGCAATGGGGGACCCAGATAGGCGCCCCCCGAGCAGGGGAAAGAAACCGAGGGCTGGGAAACGGGGTTTTTCGTGTGCATTTGAGAGGGAGAGAGAGAAGAGCTCAAGGGGCCGGACGCTGCGGCGCAGCAGCCCAATCAGGCCTCCCTGCGTTGCTGGGGGATGATGGACGTTGTAGTCCAGCTAGTTTGGGGTGGGGGTTGATCCTTTGGGGAAAGAAGGCGGCATGGGTTTTTAATCGTCCTTCTTGAACCTTCAGGCTTATAGGATGACGCTGAGTCCGAGCCCGTCTCTTCTTCTGCACACCCTCCCGCTGCCCAGAAATTAGTAGTACCATTGATTGTACAGGAAAGAATGAAGGCCGTTTCGTTTCATCCCAGGTGGAAGAAGAAAGGAAGGTTGTAGGCCCCTAACCCGCTTCCCCAGCTGGTGGTATTAATCCCCGTGCAAGGAATAGTCGGAAGCCTTAACATAACCCAGGTTCTCATGGCATATGATGCCATACAAGCGTTAACCAAGGTTACCATTCAGCAGGCTTAGCACCTGCAAAGGGGTGTACTCAGGCTTTACCTGCCATGATTGATTGAGTTGCATTTTGCTCCCCGTAGGTGTGATTTCTCATACTTCATGGGGAATTGCCTGGCTTCGCTTGATGGAATGTTTTCCAGATGATCGTTGGGGTAAAAAGTAACAGAGTCCGGGGATAGTTTTTGAAACTTAACATATTTACTATCCCCAAATGTTACTGCTTGAGAACCAAAATATATCTTTTGTCAATATCTTGTAAAAAAAAAAACCGAAACAGAGTTGCTACTGCAATTGAGGCAGCTGACAAATTGATTGATTAAATACATGTTTTTTTAAAAATGTTAAGATACTATCTAATGCAAAAGTGTGGTGTTGGGTTGTAGGAAATGGCGTAGTTTGAAACTGACTTTTTAGGCACTTTTGATTGAATCTGCCAAGGTTACTAATAGATTCTCAACATTGTAGTGTATTTATCTCACACTTTTGGCTAGCGACTGGCAAACCCACCAGTTACAGAAATAAATAGAATTAAATATGATTTCATCTGGTTGTCCTCTTACTATGTAATTTCCTGACAATTAAATCTGACTGAATTCAGATGTATGGACAAGATTGCTGCAGTGCCCATCAAGAAAAGCAACTGTAAAAAGTCACTTCCACGCTCTACTACACTGCTACACACTTAGTATTTTGTTATTTACTCATTTCAAAATATAAGCTCTCTTGAAAATCTACTCCAAACTTAGTTTACATATATTATAGATAGTAACTAGTGTGTGTGTGGTTTTTTACAGCATGTTGTGCTCGGACTAGTTTATATTATATAAAAATAGTGATTTTTACTGTTTACTGTTCTGAAGAACAATGATTAGAAAGTAAAGAGATTTTCAGGTTGAAATTGAATGTGTGTTATCAGCACATTCATGCTCTTAGTAGTAATGAGAATATCACACTATCACAATATAGTTTGTAATGGAAAAGTACTGTAATGCAAATCTCGTTCTTTGTGGGTTATTCTTTGAAATTGCCACATTGCGGCAGGAGCAAAATTTGTCAATAAATTCTGTACACAAGGAAACCAGCACACTGCATTTAAGAATGTTAAGCAACTTGCCAATTTTATTATTTGCACCTTGGAGTGAGTTGGCTTTAAAATGTTATAATTAACTGTAACACAACTAGGGGTTCCAAAAAGCATGAGTTTAGCTTACTCAGTTCCAGAAATCTTGATGTTAATCACAGTAAATCTCTGCTGATTTTTGGATTGAATTGGTTGGATTAGTTCCCTGGAAAGGCCATTCTGCCTATACTTGGGAACAGTATGTGTTACCTTGTAGTGGATAATAGCTATTCAATTCAAGGACTTTTTACTGTGAGGTTAAAAAGCATTAAGCAAACTCAGCAGTGCTGATATGTGGGTCCTACTGTCTTAATTCCAACAATACTATACAGTTATCTTCACCAGAAGCCATCGCTAGCACTACCTTCGTGACTTTGCTTAATACCCTTTTGAAATTGTCTAAACTGGTGACCGCTCTTGTATCTGGTGCTAGAAGTACCCAGATTTTTAAGAAAAGCCTCAGTGTCCTTGTTTTTTAATTATGATTTGGAATTTATTTTGTTGATATAGAATAGCACTTTTCTATGCTGCCATATTGCAGATATGATTCTTGGCAATGTACACATAAAACAATAAAATACCACCAACTAATTGATTGAAAAAACCAAACCTCGAGTTAATTCACAACCCCACTGATACACAATCAGTTACATATTGAATGCTCTGCAGAACAGTGTTGTTTGTGCAGCCTTTCTAAGAGTCATCTGCAACCATTTGGATTCATACAATATTCCAAGTCCAGGGGACCCAACATGTCCCTGGACTTGGAATGGATGTCTCTCTTGCTGTTCTTCAAGCTCCATCTGATTTGTGACTGACCATGCTACCATGGCTGCCATTTTGTAAATACAAGACTCTCTTTTTCCAGAGGTGCATACATTCACCTTGAGAAGCTCTCAAAATTCTAGATGTGATCATGCCCTCCAAATTGAGTGGCCATGCCTTAAACCCGATAAAGCACATTTCAGCTCAATGTTGTATGAAACCTATCATAATGCCCTCCCTATCTTGGGTGGTGCTGTAGCCAACTGTGAAAACATGCACTTTGCCCACAAACTGCCTTATGGTTTAGAGCAGTGTTTCTCAACCTTGACAATTTTAAGATGTGTGGACTTCAACTCCCAGAATTCCCCAGCCAGCTGGTTTAGAGAGTGAGATATAACTCCAGCCCTTCATTGGCCGTGTGAGTACAATCCTCAACATCTAGTTATGGAATTAACCCATTTTCTCGGCCTGCCTATGGTAATTTCCATGGTCTGGAATCAGAGACGTTGTACATGTGCAAAAACCCTAACTAGGCATAAAACTAGCCAAGCTTAGTGTGTGGTGTGAATGTAGCTGTTGGTCTTTAATTGACCAGGCCAAGCACCTTGGGTGAACAGTGATCCCACAAGGGCGGTTTGCTTTGTCTTAATTACATCTGAAGTGTTTCCGTGCAACATAGGAGCAGTAGCAGAGGCCGGTGGGGGATGGATGGTGAAGCTTTTCACGCATAATTCCAAAAATGGTTCTGTCCAACCGAGCAGTTAATTTCATTTGTCAAGATACTTGCATGCAAAGTTTGCTTTGGCACTTCTGGGGCTTAGTGTTGCAGAAATGCTAGAACTCCTAAGACCTCTCCCCATCCTCTTATCTATGTGTGTTTTTTTTCTTGAAGCAAAAAAATGTGCAAAAATTATCCCCCCCCCCTTTTTAACCCCTGCATATGCAAACATGTACATTCATTTCTCTTTATCGGATATTATTCGGGCTGATTCTTTTCAATGAACATCATTAATGGTCACTAAAGATGTTGGCAAACCAGATTGAAGACTGTGAAGGAATATAGACCTGGCCTTGGGAATGGAGAACAAATGAACAAACTGTTAAGGCGGGGGGGGGGGGGGGG